TCACCAACACCTGACCCTTGTGAGCAGGCTGTCTTCTTCACCATGTTATCTCCAACACCTGTAACACCAAACACTGGATAATTACGTGGATAAAATACCTCTGGCCCTCCATTTCCCCTATAAGTGGCATTTTTTGTCTGTTTTTTTTTTTTATATAAGTGGCATTTTAAAAAAATATTTGCTTATTGTCTGCCTCTGCCAAGTCCCCCACAATGAAAATGTAAGCAGCCAATCTCTATTTTGTTCACGGCTGTATATTGTAGTATTCTCTACTGGGCCTACCATAACACAGACTCCAAAATATTTGGTAAAAGATTTTTTTTTATCCTTGTTTTTTTGGTTTTTGACGCTAAAACATGTTGATTCTCAGTTTTCTACGGAATTAAATACTAAGCCTGTCTACTGACTCCGTGGCATTATTGATGAGCTATTTGTACTCATCATTATTTCCCCAAAGCCTAGGTTTGGAGCAGAAAAAGCAGATTATGTACCAATGATAACATATCATGTTCTAAACTGGGAAAAAGTACAGCAAAGAGACAACCGTAGCCTCGGACAGAGGAGCTGCGAGCGCCCTGAGCAAAGACTATTTTGTTTTGTTGCATGTACTTCCTTGATTCCCAAGTCCTCTGGAGCGACTGTAGTGTACAACGGGAAGGGTGATGACAGGGAGTCGTGGAAGCTGCGGAACACAAGGAGTCAAGGGCCCCTGGCCCCCGTCTCTCTCGCGCCGGGCCAGGCGGCGTGCTGGGAGCCCCGCGTCCCTCCCGCACCTGCACGCCAGTGACCCGGGGACAGCCCGGCGCGCGAAACCGGAAGGAAGCGCCAGCGAGCGCAGAGAAGCCCCCACGGGCTCCAGCGCCGGATCCCGGAACTCCGAGCAGCCCACCCCACCGCCCTGCACTCACCACCAGCGAGGCCACGAACCCCGGCCGGTCCATGGCCCAGCAGGCCGAGCCCAGGCTACATACAAGCCGAGACCTAGCAGGCGCCGGTCACGTCCCCGTGCGCTGTGGGCGCCGCCATCTTGGAGGCGGAGCCTGTGCGTGCCCGTACTTCCGGGACCACGTGACGTCGGACCACAACAACTGCACGTGCAAGCCCGGAGGGCGCTGCGCCGGGAGTTCCGCCTCGAGGAGGGGCGGGGCTTACGGGGAGGGGTGTGGTCAAGCTAAATCTCGCGGCTCTTCTCTGCCCCCGTTTCCTGCAGCTGCCCCGATGGAGGAACTCTCGCGAGCAAATGGGCGTGGCTGGGGTCCCGCGGGAAGCTCCGCAGGGTGGATTGGGTGATTTTAAATGGCAAACACCGGAAGGAAGAGCGGGGAGGGGCGGGGCTAGCCTCAAGGGGCCAGGCCTGTGCTTTGTTATTATTCAGACTCCAAATGGGTTATTTCGTTTTGGTTTAATCTCTTGGTTTTGAAAGTACAAATTTTGTCTGAATTTCCATTAAATAACTCATTTTCAGAAGGCTATTAAATAAAGATATAGAAAAATACTCCTAAAGTTTCCTTCCTTGAGCTAAAAGTTAGCATCCTCCACTTATCCTTACAGGCACTTATTGCACCCAGAATTGTTTGCTTGTTCAGTTATTTACTTGCTTGTCTTGTTCCCCGGTGTGGACACCTGGAAGCACACGTTAAGTGCTTAGTGTCAACGGGAAAAAAGCCAAAGTCTGCAAAATAATTTTAAAGAGATTTATTCTGAGCCAAATTTGAGGACCATGACCCGGAGCCACTGCCAAGAGGCCTTGGGCAAGTGGACTCGCGTGGCCGGGTCACAGTTTTGGTTTTTATACTTTTTAAGACACAAGGGTTAAGCTAAAGCCATCATCAGTGTGTGGGAGGCATACATTGGTTTGGCCCAAAAAGGAGGGCCATCTCCAAAGGGGGGGGGGCTTCCGGGTTATAGGTGGGTTTAAAGATTCTTTAGATTGTAATTGGCTAAAGGACAGGAAGCTTTGTCTAAAGACCTGGAATGTTTTCACATAAATGTTTACAGAGATAGCCACCATTTGTTGCATAAATTGAGGGCCTGCAGGTGTGTCTTGCATACCCTTAGGCCTGTCAATGGGTTACAAAGGAAGTCTCAGGAAGGAGGGGGCCGATGACAAGGCCTGTCTGACCTCCCTCCTCCTGGCAGGCAACTTTGCCTGGAATATTCCCTGGCCACGAGGGGGTCCATCTAGTCAGATGGTTGGGGGGGGGTGGGAGCATTTTTTAGTTCACATTAGTAAAATTCTTGGAGGTGTGAACTAAAGTATAATTTTAATGGCTCCACCACCGGCTGACTGAATGGACCCTCTCATGGGCCAAGGAATATTTTAAAATTATTAATTGCCAGGAGGAGGAGGGTCAGACAGGCTCATCCATGCCCCACTCCCTTATTGGGCCACTTCCTTCATAACCCATTAACAGGCTAAGGGTTGTGCAAGACAAACCTACAGGTCCCTCAGTTTAACCACAATATCATGACGTGTGGGCTTTACTCTGACAACAGGTCCTTATTGGGTATAAAACATTCCATATCTTAGACAAAGTCATGTCTAAACCAATTACAATCCCAAAGATTTAAACCCACTATAACTTTAAGCACCTCCTTCAAGATGGCCCACCTTTGGCCAACCACAATGGTATCTCCACATTTGATTTATGCTTTACCTGTACCCTGTCTCCCTGAAGTATAAACCAACCTGTACCAGCCCATCTACTTGCCAAGGCTCTCTCTCTTCTTGGTGCAGTGGCTCGGGCATTGGTCCTCAAATTTGGCCTCAGAATAATCTCTTTAAATTATTCGAGTTTGGCTTTTTACCATTGACAGAGTGGACCTGTGTTTATTTTTTTAATATTTTCTACCGCCTTCTATATATGAATCAAGGGACCCAACTGCATTCAGACGTGGTGCTAGGTGACTGGACTGACAGATATTTGCCTCTTTGATCCTTACACACCCTGGCGATGTCAAGCACACTTACAGGTCCTCACTTTACAGAGGATCCTGTCTCTCGAGGTTTAGTAACCAAAATCAACTGCAAACGAACGCAACAAGCAAGCCATTGAAAATTAATACAACTTCATGCCTCAGCATC